CCTCTCTCTCTCTCTCTCTCTCTCTCTCTCTCTTTCTCTCTCTCTCTCTCTCTCTCTCTCTCCCTCTGCGTCGGCATGCATAGTTTATTCTTTGATTTATTGTGTGTCCCTTTGCTTGACGGTGATGGACAGAACAATCTCAGGCCTTTTTCTTTGATTTAATATTACAGGGACAGAACAGTCTCAGGCCTATTATAGTGATGGTGATGGACAGAACCCGTAGCAGCAACATCCATGCACAAGCCTAAAAAAAAACAAAAAACCGCGGCGGTAATGCAAACCCTCTTTACTGCAGTTCACTTTGATGATCTACGTAGCAGAAACACGAAACGAGCGTGGGCGTGCGCGCGCGCGCGAGAGAGAGAGAGAGAGAGAGCAGCAGAATAAAAAAGAAACAGAAACGAAAATGTGCAAAATGAGAATGAACTTCCCTCACTAACATAGCCAGATTCACATCTTGCCAGTTCTCTCTCTCTCTCTCTCTCTCTCTCTCTCTCTCTCTCTCTCTCTCTCTCTCTCTCTCTCTCTCTCTCTCTGATCTCTCTCTCTCTCTCTCTTTCTCTCTCTACCCCACTGATCTCTCTCTCTCTCTCTTTCTCTCTCTCTCTCTCTACCCCACTGATCTCTCTCTCTCTCTCTCTCTCTCTCTCTCTCCCAAGAAACAAAAAAATGGACTGGATCAAAAAAAAAAAAGAACAGCAAAATAAACAAGAAAAAGAAAAAGAAACGTAAAAAAAAAACGGAACAAAGGGCGTCGTCGCACCATTCTCGACATGTGCAAAATGAGAATGACACATCCCGAGTGAGTAAGTACGACCTAAGAAAAAGATGAAAACCTCCCTTAGGGCCTTGGTAGTTGGAACAATCACCAGGAACCGCCAAGATGTTGAATGCATCTTTACAAGCCGCCTATCCAGGTGCATTCAAAACGTCAAATGCTTATGGACAAGTGTCTTGTCCGGTTGAATTCAAAAGAGTGCCGGATCGCGAGTGGTTTGCAACTACCGTCTTCAACTGAATAGAACGCCTGGCCATTATAGCTGCATGTGGACGGAAAGCTGCTCTGAATACAGCTATAATGACCGGGCGTTCTATTCGTGTGAAGAAGGTAGCCCTTTCGTATGCATTCACACAACACGAGGTCAGATAGTAGTTCGTATGCATTCACACAGCACAAGGTCAGATAGTAGTAACACACAGAGCGTACTCACGCCAACTCTATCTCAAATGTATCTGACAACATTTACGACCTGACCATGATGTATCTGACTGTAATGACGTCCACGAATAGTAACACTCAGGGCGTACTCACGCTATAGCTCTATCTCAAACGTATCTGACCACATCCAAGGCTGGACGTAGATGTATCTGACAGTGATCACGGCCACAACTAAGTACAGAAGTCGTACTGTGAGTATGCCCTCAGTCTGACAGATCTGTACGCTTGTGGCAGTGACACGTCATCTTGCCCATGCTTCCCAAAACGAAGAGCATAATAAAAACCTTTCTCCGCCTCTTCTTTTTTATTTTTATTTATTTCATTAATAGCATAAGTATACTTGTATCTGTTCAATATCTGTATCTGATCCATTGTCCATCGGACCACATGAAAAAAAAAAAAAAAAAAAAAGAGAGCATGAATTGTGATGTGTCAGATTCACCTGGGTCATTGCCACGTGGAGCACACTGGTGAAGTCACTGTGAAGTAAATTCACAGGAGATGGACGAAAAGAACGGAGAAAAAAAAAACAAAAACGGAACACCTCCCTACCCCTATATATTCACAAAGTTATCAGCTGTGTGTCCGAAATTGGATTTAACGCGGGTTTCGCATTGAAAAATTCAACGCGCGTTGAATTCTCGTTAAACTTCCGTTCAACTCGCGAGTTGAACGGGAATTAACGGGGTCCGGGATGTTTTTTTCCTGGGCGAAAAATTATCCAAATATATATATATATATATATATATATATATTGGGTTGTAGGTTTTGTTGAGGAGTACAACCCTGTATTTATATTTTTATTTTTTGATGCTTAAATCTATTTAAAAAAAATCAAAAACATAAACACACAATGAAAAAACGAAAACTAAAATGAAATGAGTGTTTTTGTTTTGGGTTTCACACAGATTTTTTAAGGGCTAAAACGAAAAAAAACAAAACAAATAAAAAATGTAGGGTTGTAGATCTTTCAAAGATGTACAACAATTTATTTTTTATTTTATTTTTTTGGAATTTTGTATATTTAAAAAAAAAATCAAAACCATAAAAAACAAATAAAAAAAAGAAAACACACACACACACACACACACAAAATTGGGCCTGTAGCAGGTTGCATGAGTCTGGCGTCAGTTGGTTGAGGGAACCCAGGTCCTGGGCCGCCTGTGTGAATGTATGGAAAGCAGTCCCTGAGCTGGATACGGGTACTAGGCCAAACACATGCGACAGACAGTTGGGGGCATGCAACCACCTCAGGCCCAATGCCTGTTCTCGTTCATGCAGTGCCTCAGGTTACCGGGGCCTACTGGAAGCTTCCAGGGAATGAACACAGGCAGGCCACTTCGATATAGCAAAGGGCCTGCCTCCACATTGGGCATTCGAGTGCTGGTTGCATGATGCGTAAGCGCTGCCGCGCTGTAGCTCGTGCCACTCACGCGCTCACGGGCGACCAGGAAGGAGCAGGCAGCCATAGCCGAGCTGCGCTGCTGTAAGCTGGGTGTGGCACAGGGTGGTCCTTGGGTGCAAGTGGAATCTGTGTGTTGGGGAACGAGGTTGTGAGTAAGGCAAAACACACTCTCACGCGCAGGCACAGACACACTTACACTTACACACACACACACTTACAAATACACACATACACAAACATACACATATACATACACACACACTTACAAACACATACATACACAAACACACACATATACATATACACACACACTCTCACGGCAGGTACACACATACACAGATACGAGCACACACAACACACCTACACACACCTAACTGGGGCGTTGGGGGTTGGGGGATGTGGGGGCGGATGGGAGGTGCTTCAGGGGTTGGGGGGATTTTTTTTTTTTTTTTTT